GAACAATTTTGAGGTATTTTAATTAAGTACAATAACAGTAGAATTTTACCTTCTGGTGATTCTTCTTGCATATATGTTCCGGTAAGAAATCGATGTACAAGAGCTGATTTTCCACTTGACACAGTACCTAATAGACCAAGACGAATATCTAGTACACTACGACTCAATGTCCATTCTTGACTGTTCACAAATGAATCTAGATAGAAAAAACGATATAAGGTAAGATTAAAGCTGAGAGCTGTGGTATAAGGACACTGTTGGAATCTTAGATATATGTCTTTACCTTCAATAATCATGACATGATCTCGAATTTGACTTTGCACTGTTGTATCTTTGACATCATCGATTAATTCATATATTGCATATATTGACGGATGAACTCCTTCAAATCGCTCTATTTCAGACTTGATAAACGATGAATTGGTCATTTGAATTTGAGCATTTATCGGGGCTAATAATGGGGAAGATACAACGGCAGAACTTGATGAAGGAGGGAGATTTGGCTGAGGACGATTCATGATGATCTATTAATTTGGACTAAAATATGTAAGAAAAGCTTTAGTAATTAAAAAATTTTTGCTTAAAAAAAACATCCTTTATTTTTGATATAATTCATAGGTGTTGTAAACTTTTTATTAGAAGAATGACAGAAAACGGACAATCAATCAAGCAAAATTGCTGTTCTAAGGACTATATTGTATTACGTGATAGTACTCTTTTGTACAGAAAAGAAGAAACAGTACAAAGAAAGTAAATATTGAAGTAAGAGGAGACTCATAGTTCTGTATATAGATTTCTTAATTTAACCGTGCTCTTACCTGCTATAGACATTGATTCTTCGAAACAAAACATTTTAAAATTATTTAGATTTATGAATTAGTCAAAAACTAAAAATAGTAAGAGAAATAATTATCAACTAGAACACTTGTTAAGTAATAGTGTGAGATTATTAATCAATAATTTTAAAAATGTTTTCACCCGTTTGAACGTTAAAATTCCTGTAGTAGTTTAACTAAGAGCAAAGAAGAGTTTTGACAATATCTTCAACTTTGACTATACTTGTCAAAAGTCGTAAGATTTCTTGATAGCGAAACATTTTGATGTTCAACAATGATCAAATATGAAAAAACAATTGAACTATGAGGTTAATATCCTACGCATTCTGAATTCAGAAAAAAAGATCGCAGAAGTAAACTGTTAATCTAAGAATGACGCTGACTGTACATTTGAGCCAAGAATTAGCTGAACTATGAGTAAAACTCACTCTCACTAGATTGGACGACATGTCAAAAGCAAACAATAAAATCAAATGGAAAAATTGTATTGATTAAAGAGCCTTGCTCAATTTTTGCTTTTGATCCGTTCATTATTAATTAAATGAAATAAAATTCCACTGCCGCAAGTCATCGGCCATTTTACTTCTCGATGACTGAATCAAGATTACAAAACCAATGAGAAGTTCTCATTCAAAAATAATTCAAGAATGCAAATGTCTGATGCTGAGATTGCGACTAAACTGAAGAATTCACCACAAATTAAACTAAATATATATATTGGAAGTTTTTATCTATGAAAATGCATTTATTATGTCTGAAGTTTGAAAAATATATATTATAATTGATTTCTCTCAACACATAATATAGATATCGCTGAAATTCTCTCTTTGAGCAAGAAACAACATAGACGGAGGCACTGATCTGAGAATAATGCCGCTAAATGAGAGAAAACCAATCAAGTTATGAGATAGTAAAACACAATATTATATTGGAAAGAATTATTAAATATATTAGAAGAAGAATTACACTCAACATGAAAGAATGACTCAATCGTCACTTTTCGTAAAAAAAAGCTTTCCTAAAACATCTATTCTTTTATTTTTAAATAGAAGTTTGATCATGCTTAATTAGTATGTAGATCATTGAATGAAAAAATCTTTTATGTTGTACATTTGTTGTGCGTTAGAAAAACGGTATTGATTGCATGGAATGTTTTATATAAACCCGATGCAAACTAAAAGTTGTGAATCCGTTTTCCTTTTTCTTTTAGGTCTTTGCTACCATTTCAGTGATATTTGAGATCCCTCATTATAAAGCGTACTGCTTTTACATATATATGTAGTCATTTTACCGATAATCTAAATAAAGATAATAGATTTGGGAATGTTCATTCGCATTTGCATTTCTTCAAAAATTCCATCCAATTAATGCCGTTATTCCACCGCAACAAAAATGCATAAAATAAGAAAATTCTTTCTATTAGTCTACACACTAAATGAATCTGTTTTCACTTTACGCAGTAGCAACTTTTATCTCTTTCCATTTCTTCCAGATATAACTGAGTTTGTCCCGATGAATTTTTACACTGTTTTCAGAACACAAAGTGAGCTTGATTGAATTTTTTTTACAAAGTTCTGTCAAGCAGCGTTTGAAAGACAATTGTAATCTTGCAGTTCGAATCATACATTGTACATAACATCTGGCAGCTCTGCGAACTGAGGGTATTGTTTTTTTAGCTCTTGAGATCTTGAGATGTGAATGAAATAAAAAAAATAAGACCATAACCTTCGTTTTTTATGTAAATAGAACGAGCAACATCTAATGCGTTCTACGATCAAAGGAAAAAATCCCACACTATAAAAACAATATATAAATAAAAAATCTATTCTAAATGCTTTACAGGCTTATTTTTCCGACTACGCGCTTGACTAGATCTCACTGTTAATCTGCTCTTGCTGATTACTATTTTACGCTATTTTATTACATAAAGGGTGACCCAGAAGTCTTGATCCGATTTGAATAATAAATTTTTTGTATAGTGAAACAAGTGGTTGTAAATTTGTCTCTATGAAGAAACAATGCAGTAAAAAACGCTTTACAAGATGACTATTGATTGACCCTGTTAGCTCATCTAGTAAGAAAGTTATAGGCTTGGAAATGTACTTCACAAAAAAGAAAAATCAACCGTGAACCCGGTCCATATGGTGGTGCTTTCAGTAAAAGTCCCATAACTTCATCAAAACAAAACGTTTTTCGATCGGGTTTGTTTTGCTTTGATCAGAAATGATTGCTCTTCTCTACCTAGTTGCAACATCAAAACTTCGATCACGTTTT